TTTTTTTTTTTGACCGTCAACCGTCAAAAAGTTTCAAGCCACCTCAATCTTGCTTATTTTAGTATTTTAGCTGACCGTCATGGACTTCTGACTCCTGAAGAATCGCGCTCCAAACTGCCAAACAGTTCCCACGTTCTCAAAAAAATTCCTTTTAGACATCACAAGACCCAGTTAGAACTTGCGTAACTTCCGAAACTATTTAGAAACATATAACTTCAAGGCCAACATATTTTCAGAAAACATACTAACTTTCACAGTTTTAACTTACTGACAGTTAGTACAAATTTTCACCGCGCAAGGTAAGTTCCAGCAACCGATAAAAAATGCTTCGTTGTCGCAAAATTCATTCTTACTTGAAGCCGACATGCGAAGAAAGATACAGGGGCACCCAACGTCAATTTTCGGAAAATATCTGTTCGGAAGACGATTTGAGATCTAGAATTTTCCGCTCATTTTTTGTAAAATTTCTTGCTTGCCTACCTCTCCTAGGATTTTCGAACATCTAAAAATTGGTGTAATTGCCCATTTTTACCGAATTTTGACGCTAAAAAGCTCACCTAGAATTTTCGGGAGCCTTTTTTCTGGCTGAAATTTTCGAAAAGGTAAGTTTTGATCCCTATGATTTTCGGATCTCGAGACTTTCAGCTAGGAACTCCGAACAGATAAAAAATTTTTAGGGGATAAAAATATGCCTATATCTACCGTTTAAATACTGAAATACGTTTAACAATGCTATGTTTAAGTGGTTTTGAACTATATTCTCGTTGGGTGCCCCTGAAGATAGGGAAGCCTTGAACAATGCGAAACTTTTATCATTCACCCCGATTAAATGATAAAAATACCTTCAGGAAATAGAATATATGGTTACCCCAGTTTTCCACTTGTACGCGTAAGAGATATGAAGAAACGCGGTGCATTGTTTTTTCCGTGAATTGAAGGAAAAATTCATTCTTATTTGCAGCCGACATGCGGCGAAACATTGGGAACCCTTGATTCAAAAATTCTTAAACTACGCCGGTCTTATTTTCTTATTTTCTTGTCTTTGTTGTTGTTGCTGTTTTCTAAGTCCCTGGGTAACCGACCCCCCCTCCCCACCCCTCCCCAAAGTCACAAGGTGGTCAGAACCTCGATCCATGCGTCGTAAACAATGCGAAACTTTTATCGGTTACCCAGATTTAATGTTTAAAATGCTTTCAGGAAATATGTTTGGTTATCCCACTTTTCCAGCTCTACGCGTAGGATATCTCAAGAAACGCGGTACGTTGTATTTCCCGTGAATTGAACGAAAAATTCATTCTCACTGGAAGCCGACGGGGTGAAATTTTCAGTTGATTAATTCCTTCGCATCCATGTTAACGAAAACACAAGAAGAGAACCATTAGTTCGAACAAATTGCTTTTAATTTTAGTGTTTTTAAACACAGTTTTTGTCTTACAAGTCACGTCGCCTCAAATGCAGGGAATCCCCTGCGCTGTCAATCATCCATTGTCATCGCGCAGAATCTGCGCGGAAACAATGGTGCCATTTTTGGAAACTTGAAGCTATGATGTAATGTGGGGAAGAATCGAGAATCATGGCGTACGCATCGTTTTGAAGTGAATAACTCATTAAACCTGACCTAATACAGCGTCGTTTTTGAATTCCTTATTACATAATTGTTCTTACGTGTTCATAGCTTCTCTCTTTTCTCGGTTAGCTTCCTAAAATTCGCTCGAGGGTCCTAACTTTGATCGTAAATATTACCTCATCGAGAAAGAAATAAACCCCTGTTAATCTGATTAGTAATGATCTGTTTGGAGCTATGATGTAAACACTGTTATTTAAACACAGCCTAGCTGGGATCTTTAAATCATTCCCCATAACAACTTTTACTGTTAAGGTTCATTCAAAGATGCCGAGAATAAAGCGTACAAAAACAGCGGCGGAGAATCCAGCAAGAAGTTCGGAGCTGATCGAAACGCAAGCTGCGGAAACTAGCAGGTTGGTATTAAACGCCCTAAAAAACCTAGTAACTTTTCGCCCGGAAAACGCCAAGGATACTTTTGTAGAGTGGTCTGTTTTTTTTCCCCGAGGTGAAACACACGCAGTAAAATATTCACGCAGTAAAGTGTTCATTTGGAAAAATTTTATTTCCGTTTCTTTCTTTTCTGCATTGCACTTTGAACACTCCAGGATCCTATACACGCTCGATTTTTAATTGGTGTTCATAGTGAAAACTCTTTCACATTGCAGTTCCCGTGCTGCTGGCCCCGTTGAAGAAGATGACAGTCCAGGCGAGGAAAGGTATATTAAATTTTATTTAGTGGGCACATATTAGATTCTATCTACTCCTCCAGAGTTACTTATTGGGACAGGGAATGTCTGGTTTCTTTCTTTCTTTCTAGCAAAGTTTTCAAAAAATCCGAAGAAAACACAATCATAGCTCCCCCGTCCCCCCTCTTTTCTTTTATATACTTGAATCATGGAAGGGGTGCCCCTTCTGCATGGACACACCCGCCGGGAGTTGTTCAAGCAAAGCAGTAGTCTAAAAAACCAAATGACTGTGAAATTAAGTGAAATCCAGGAGTAATTGGACTTAGTTCCAGTGAGGTTGAGTCCTCAAGGTTCTAAATATTGCCACAAAAATTCACAGATCTCAAATATTTTTTTGTCAAATCGTTAGAATTAAAATGATGCCCTTGAAAATTTGCAGCCAATTAATTTGGTTTCAGTGTTCGAGAAATATTGTAGCATAATCAAAATAGCAGTAAAAACTTTTTTACTATTATTTTTATTATTATTATTATTATTATTATTATTATTATAGCTCTGTTAATATCATCATAATCCATGCCTTAGTAGTTCTCCAAAAAACGTGCTCATTGTATATATATATATCGATGGGGCTAAAATTGTCAGAGATAACTGAAATGGTTATGCTCTTTCAATATTCAAAAATTTTATTTCTTCATGAGATAATGATGAGCCAATGCTAATGACGCAAAAGATGTAAACAAGGATTCACCCATATTCAGAAATGAAACCGAAGTAGCTTTTAAGCATGGCAATTCATGTTTTTTTTTCCTCTAGCCGTGACGACGACTCACTCATCGATGATGGAACACAACCCCAGGACCCACCAATGTTCCACGTAGCCTTGGACAACCAACGTGAAAATCAGCCATCCACAAGCCGAAATGTTGCACCGGTCATTATCGTACCGTATTTCCCACTTGGACTGGCAGTATCACCAGAAGAGAGAATGCAGTTTAACTTCAATTTGTTTCTGTATGACAGCTTGCGTTTGCCCAATGGGCTTTTTCCTGATGATGGAGCTGGAGAAGTGGTGTTTGAAGACCTGCAGACATGCAGGGAGTATTGTTCACGCTATGTACAGAAAAGAGAGGAATGGTGCGGAAGAGAGCAGGTAGAGTCAGACCACTCGCAAGAAAGAAGAAATGAACTGTCCAAGGAGGAGATGTTTCTAACCGCAGGAGAACCCTTGGATGTAACCCTGAAATATGGCAACGAAGCATTCGACCGCAACTTGAACTTAATACGCCTTGACCTCTTTGGAAATGTCATGATCTTGAATGCTCCCCACTGGAGCGATGTCGCTGCACAGTTCACACATGGTTTCCCTCGTCGTCTTATCATTAACAGCCATCGTGGAATCTTGCCTGGCAACATCACTGTGGCAGCACGCATTTCAAACCAAGCAATTCGAAGTTTGTCCCCAGGTAACTGAGAAAAATGATAGTAATGAATATTAACCCTTTAAGTGCCAATAGTGACCAACATCAATTTTCTCCTAACGATATCCATAGATTGTCAAGTGCAGTCTAAGAGAATTAATAAAATGATCACAAAGAAAAATCTTTGATCTTTCATCAAATTCTCTCAACTAATATCTTAAGGAAATGTATGGAGATCAGTCTGGAGAATTTGTATGTAGATATTGGGGCTTAAAGGGTTGATAATACAGCACTATGATGAAAACATGTTTTAACAATTTTTTCTTCAAAAAACTCCTGGATGTAGCATGGGTATAGTATTTCATTGTATTGCATGTCTTCAGCAATCGCCCTTCACGAGAACAAAATAATCACTTTGTACAAAAGGTAATCAGATGCACTGCATCGAAAACACAAGATGTAATAACTGAGGTGAATTACTGAGGAATCCCAGGTTTGATTTTTCTTTGGTGCTAGCAGAGTTGTCATTATTACCTTTGACATTGACTCTCTTGCAGGTGACATAGCTGCTTTCACCTCCAAAAAAATGATGCAAGGTTTGGGATTGACCACAACAGAGCTGATGCTTGCGCGGGCTATGGCAATCAGATATGCAGGAAAAACAGACAAACCTGTACGTCTAATTGACATGATGGCACGCTTTGGAGTTGACTTCCTCACCATAACGCCACTGGTATCAGAACAAGTACAAGGGCTCCGACAGGCAAGTTCTTCACACTGGAGGCGTATGCTAGCTTCTGCTTCAGACGACAACCACAGCAGTTCAGATGAATCGGAGCTTTCTGTTAGCTGGGATGCTGCAGACGAAAGAGAGCCACTTCCATCACAAGGAACACCAGAATACAGTTCATCCGTGACCAGACATGTAGAAAATCTGCTGCAGTGCTATGTGTCTGTGTCCACGTCTACGCAGACAACAACTCAGGTAGGGTCTCTCATGTGATTAAGAGTAAGTCAGTCCATATCCGATCCCTGGTAAATAGAAGGGTTAGATATAGATGGTTTTCATAGTGACGTCATCAAATTGTAAGGTCAAAATAGCAAGGTTTCACGAGTTTCTCATTTACACTAGGTTGAAGACAAACAAAAAGTAAATCGTTGTACAAGTTTCCATTCCTGTAGCATGTTTCATTTCGAAAGTACAGCAATTTGAACTTCCGAGTTTTCACAGTCCGTGACACCAAAATAGGAATGCTGTCTCGTTGGAAAAAGTCTCTCCTCTTGATTTTCAGCTGTATAACCATTTCAAGTATTAGGTGCGCGAAACGTTTCGGCAAATAACTCAGAAACTTTGGGCCACAAAGACCTGAGACTTGGATAAATTGTTTAAAAATTAGTCTTTTAAAACATTTCATTTTCTTGGCTTCTTCCACTGGACGGTTTCCAATTTATTTTTTTGTTGCGTGACAGTGAAGACGATCTATATCTTGTTAGTTCTCTAAAACAAAGGTCTTGGATGATGAAAATGATCGTAAAATTAGTGTATTATGGTTATAACAGGCACTGCAAGTTACAGCGGAAGCAACACGAAGACCCAGTGGCAGTTCTGGGATGGTACGAAAAAGAAAGCAGAAAACTCCCAGACGTGTTGTACCCAGGACTACAGCATCCCAGGTCCCCGAGGGAGCACCAGCTGCCGACAACCAAAGACAGAGGGATGAAGAACCACGGCCGCAAGCAGTACCCAGCCCACGCGAGCGTCTGCTAGCACTACCAGGAATCGTAGCAACACGTATCCCCAACACTGAGTCATTGAACAGGCTTCAAAAGTTCCTGCAGGAGAACCAACCTTGCAACCCACAGCAGGTGAACTAAAATTAAAAAACATTAAAAAACTGCACATTGGTTTGACAAAATGATTTGATAGGTGCTAACTTCAAAAATATTAGATTGGCATTTGCTGATGGTTTGCATAATTTTTAATTTGCATCCTATTTCCTGTGAAAACAAATCATCTTGAGATGTATTTATAACAGGTCAAAGTTAAATTTGGGTCAAAATGTTTCTACCTAGGCTGATTTTCAATTTTCCTTTGTTCATAGCCCTAATTCATGAATAATTTGGGCCGGGAGACAAAGGAAATTGAGAGTCAATCTGACCTGTTAAAGAGACAAGGAAAATTGAGAATGAACCTAGGTAAAAAAATTTTCACCTGATTTTTATTTTTTTAAATTTTCACTGCTTGCACTTGTAAAGCACTTTTTATTATTTTTCATTTACTTCATTGATACAAAGCACCCAGTGAAAATAGTAGGATTGGAGACTTCTTAGTCCTTTAAAGTCGTGTAAATGCATTGACAGTACTTTCTGAAGAATGAACTTGAAATTCCCCATTTTGAAGAGCGTTAATTGTGTACTTCAACAGTTTAAAATTCATCAAAATTAATTCAATCCAACTCACCTGTTACTCTTTTTTTTTCCCTAGGTAGAACAGGCGAGATCTTCAGAAACACAGACTTTAGAAGAGGCTAGACAAACTGTAGCTCTTCGAGTATACACAGATGAACGTGAAGAAATAGTGCAGCAGCGAGTGTGCGATGTTTGGACAGCTTCTCGGTTGGACTGCACCTGCCTCGGAGAACCAGTGGCCAGAGATTCACAGGATGAAGGAGACCAGAATTGCCCATACTGTCTATGCCAGGAAGCAGGGGGAAATATCGCCAGTGTGAGAGGCAAATGTAGGAACCAAACCTGTGCTGTTTGCATGCTGATGAATAAGCTGGACCAACGCACAATGACTGCACTTGGCTTAAAACGCAATGAACGCCTGACTGCCATGCTAGAATTGGCACCCTTCATCACAGAATGTTTGAACACTGGAGACATGCCTGAAGATAGGAGGATTCAGGTTTCCAGGGCCTTTGAAGACATACTAAGTTGTAGCGCATCCAGACTGCGATATGTTGCAAACACTGGCATGCTAATCATGCTCTGTCCACGGCTACGACACCTTCTCTTGCAGAAAGGTTGGGGCAATGTCTGGTGTAACCTGTCTAAGATAGCTAGTGCAATTGGTCATCACAACGATCACCGCAGCCAAATTGCAGCTCTGATGTTCATCCGTCGCAGGTGCATACCAGACACCAATAGCAAATGGCTGTGGTTTCTTCAGTCAGAAGATCACGCTGAAGAAGAAGAAATTGACAGGAGTGTGTTCCAATAAGACCCAACTCTGGAAGATAGAAGAGATTTTAAGTCAGACTATGAACTTTAACTAGTATGTTCATTTTGGACTTCAATATGGGCCAGTGTGTTCCAGAAATGTTATGTTTGTAAGATTTTTAAAAAGTTTCTCACAAACCGTTGATAAATACTCGACGTACTGCAGTAGTGTTTCTTGAAGAAATTCATTTTTGTGACAATCATGATGGGTAGTTTTGCTCAAGTTTATAACAAAATGATGATCAGTGTGATACTGCCCCACCAAAAGTTAACATTTAAAATAAAATTGACATGATAGTTAGAGAAAATGTGTGCTTGTCCACTGCTATAATATTATTTTCAATAACCGCCACAAAAGGGAAGTAGGTCGCTGTGCCCCCAAAGGTGAGAACACACTCAAAAGTGTCTCCTTTAATTCTGGCTACCATCGCTATAAATGGAGCCTGCCAACCAACTGCAATAAAATATTCTTTTGCTTTCACCTGCATTTTGCTAAAAAGGTTTGCAGTTCAGAGAAAGGAATTGAACAACGATTAGACTGCCGACAAAACTCTGAACAGAGAAATTCAAATTCTTTTTTCAGTTCTCAGTCTGAGATCTCTTTTTAGAACACTTTCTATTTTGCCAAGTTTCAACCTCCATATTGAAAGGAAACAAATCCTCACTAAGAAAAGCAGTGCATTATAGTCTAAATACAAAGTTTTACCCAGACAGGTGGTAAGGGTTATTATTTAAGCAAATTCATTCCAAATGAATAGTTGCAGTGAGAAATCCACGCTCACCTACTTTTTCCGGCTAA